ATAGGAACGCGATAAGTGGCGCGTTCAAACACTGATTAGCATCGGGCGCGTCGCGTACCGGGGTGTCCCAGCTGGTGGCCGAGGACTCGTCGTCAGAGTCAGGTCCATCGACGACAAAGTTACGCCTTTTCGCAATGTTTTCTTCGCGCTTCTGCCTTCGGATCTCCACCTGCTGCTCTTCGCGGCGGCGACGGAGCTCGTCCTGCTTGAGGGCCTTGCCCTTGTAATCTGCACGCGAGCCACAATATCAGCGGGCGCGCACATCGGATGGCACGACCGACGCGACACTTACTCTCGCGACGCGCTGCTGGAGTGCGATCAGACATGGTGGTGGTTGGGAGAGAAGATGAGGAGGGAGAACAGGGCTGCAGGGCGTCCGATCTCAACTCGCCGCGCGTTGCACCTAAAACCATCACGGCACGTGGCCGTGAAAGCTCGTCTTTGGCTTTCTCTCGAACTTTCTTCCTTCCTCATCAGAACACAAAGGATTGCTATTAGGCGCTACAGTACATTTTACAAATCCATTATCCTCTACGCGTCCTCGCCGAACGGATACTGTAACACCGAATGAGCACATGTCATACACGGGATAAGTAGGCAAACATACCTCGAACGATTGTGGCGGCTCGGCGTCGGGCGAGCTCTCGTCTAGCGCGATATGCAGCAAGGCCGGTGGCGCCTCACCGGCAGCGGGCGCTGGTGCTGCCGGCTCCGGCGCTGGTGGTGGCACAAAGAGCTCAATGTACTCCGCCTCCGCACCCGGTTGACTATCCCTGAGCATGATGATACCGCCGCCACCCGAGTACTTCTCCGCCTTGCTGAGCGCGCCCTTCCCACCACGCGCGACAGTGACGCGCGTACTCAGTGGACGCACGGGTTGATAGCGCGATGCCTGCGGTACTACGACATATGCTGTCTGCTGCGGGGTGACGCGCGAGAAGTTGGTGATCGTCTCAAAGGCAGGCTCCTTGCGCTTCTTGCCAGTCTCCTCAACGGGCGCCTCATCCTTCATCTCGACGTCGCCTTCCTTCTTCTCCTCGAGTTTGTCGTCCGTGTCCATCGCCTCTCCCGCGTCCGCCGCTTTTTTGCGCTCGCGCGCGCGGACCTTCACCGTAGTGGAGAGGACCGCCGTCGTGACCTTGGCGGCGACCTCCTTCTTCGGCGGTTGGATGTCAGGTGGGTATGCGAACAAGCTCGGTCTTGCGTTGGAGATGAGCTCAAACTTGGGAACCTACACATATGATAGTTAGCACTTGATCGCTGTACGCGAGGGTACATAGTTTACCTTCAAATCTTCTGTTAATCCAACGATACCCGTCGGCTCGAACGCTAAGCTCGCGCAGAGCGTGAGTGGGTACCAGTACCAGAACTGGCAGAACAGTGCCATTCCCACGATCGCGCCGGTGTTGCGCGTACCCGCGCGGCTCTGCAAGCTGATTGTGACGTTGCGACCGCCAGCATCGATGAAGCTCTGTCCCAAACTGGCACCGAAGCGCGCCATCACGTCCTCGTGCTTGCTCGCGATGATCTTGGCGTACATCTCGCGCGTTTGAGCAACAGAGGGATTTGCGGCCTCAGACTGCTGCACAAGGATCATCCCGAGCGCAATGAAGGCGCCCTGGCGGACGAAGTCTACGCTGTCCCTGGTCATCGGCTGAAGGATGTCGACCGCATCCTGGAGACCCGTGCCCGCGCATGCGATACCGAGGGCGAGAGTCGCGCCGCACCGAACGTGGGGGTTGTAGCTCTCGCTGAGAAGCTGTACGATGCGAGGGACTTGTGTTGGGTTCTTGAAGAGGAGGAACGCGAGGGAGGTGACAGCCGCGCGACGCACGTCGTCGGACGTGTCCGAGACGGCGACGTGCAAGAGTTTGCGAACGGCATCGTTATCCGACGTGCCCGCGTAAGCGAGCGCAAGGGTGTATACACCGCCATAACGGAGAATGGGGTCCTTCTCATCAAGTAGTTCCTTGACAATGCCGTCCGCTTGCTCCTGACGACCGTAGTACAGGAAGCCCACGCCTATTGCGAGACTGCGGATGATCTTCTCGTGTTGCGTCTCATGAGCGTACTGCAACATCTCTCGCGCGATCGCCTCGTCGCCTGTGCCGAGCATGACGAGACCCATTGCGTATCCCGCGCCTTCTCCAGCGACTGCCACGTCGGTGTAAAGGACCTGTTTCAGATCATCGTAGGCATCCGCATTGCGCGCTCCGATAGCCGCAATGCCGAGTCCGAGGGCAGCACCGTGCTGCACAATCTCGCCTTGGGCAGCTTTCAGCGCGTCACGAAGGTAGTTCTCGACCGTCTGCCCGGCACCAACGCCCGCATTGATGAGACCGAGCGCATAGAGAGAGCCACCTTCCGAGTACGCTGCGCCCGCGAGGTTGTTCTCGCCGCCAGCCGGACTGGGCAAGTACGGGCCGAGGATCGTCATGCCTTCCTCAAAGTTGCCTTTGTGGATGACACCTAGTGCGGCCGTCGCGGTAAACTTAGCCCAGTTTGCCGCATAACCAAGCCAGTCCAGGTTCTGACGGAGCCAATGATCTGACGATGTACCGGCGTGCAAGAATGCGTTCAGGAATGTGACGGTGGTATGATACACGGAGAACCTCGGCTCGAGCGCATCCTGTGAAATGATCAGCTACATACACGCTACGCGACAAAGATCAATCTCACCTTCGTATTCTTCAAGATCAACAGGTCGGTCCTATTGTTCTTCCTCAAGAACTCGAGGAAGAGCTTTACGGGTTCTTGGCCGGAAAGAATGGCCTTGATCTTGTCGAAGACAGGTTTTGAAGTCTGTACGTGTGCGTTAGCACATGAGAGACTGCGTATGAGCCACTATACTTACTTCGTCACCTTCTGGCAAGTCCTTTCGTATACTCTCGAGGAAATCCTGTGCGCCACCTTCCGTCAGATCGAAAGCAAGTTGATATGCGAGTAGTTTCTGTCCCGGAACCAGTGCGGTAAAGAGTGGGGTGACGAGCGACGGGTTGCTGAGGGTGACGAGGATGCGGGTGAGCGTAAGGATGTGTGGTGAACTCGCGTCGCCCGTGAGTGGCGGGAAGAGAGGGTAGAGGAAGTTCAAGACTTGATCGCGGTATGAGAGGGAAAAGTTGTTGTCCAAGACGACCTCCATGGCGTATGCGAGCAAGCTTGCGTCGTGTGTCTGCTCAAAGATATACGAGATCACATCCAGCCGGCGCGACTCGAGCGCAATGCCAATGGCCTGTGCATGGTCAGGACAGACTGTGGACTGTGTGAACAAGACGCGTACCTGCTTAAAGTCGCCGTCCTCGATGCATCGCCTGAAGATGCTCTCGATGATATCTTTCAGACGTGGGTCAGGCTTCTCCGTGCTGTCTGCCTGGCTTTCGATGTAACGGTCGATCGCCTTGGCTAATTACAGAGTTTAGTGTCGTCCTTCACGCCATAGACCAGGCGTACTCACAGATTATGGTCTCTACATATTCTTCTGACCCGGGTGTGCGTAATTCAGCCTCGAACGCGCGCCCTGCGCCCAAAGCAAAGGACAAAGATTCCTCGTATTCCTCGAGGTAGTAGTAGACCTTGCTGGCCAGGAGAGACGCAGCAGCGCGTGCTTCCGGTGTCAGGTCTGATGCTTCTTCCAGAGACTCGCTGGATAAGTAAAAGTCAGAAAACAAGACGCGTCTGGATGAAAGCGTGTGCGGACATGTATGCGATGTGTTCTGAGATCTCTGCCCAGAACTGGGGTACGATGGTGAGCAGAGTCTTGAGTGCGTGGTGTTTGATGACGGGCTCTGGCTCCTGGAGAAGTGCGAGGACGCCCGCGGCGGAGGACTGTGGATTGTGTGCGACCATGGCAGGAGGAGGCGAGGGTTGGTGCGCGCGGCCTGGGTGCGCTCTGGACGCGTACGCGTCGCGTCGAGATTGATCACATCACTCAACTGTTCCCACGGGTGGGCATTTCGACTTCGCCGGTTCGCGGAAGAGCGGCGGCCTGCAGACAACAACCACCAATGGCCTCCCTCGCGCGCTCTGCCCGCCTCGCATCTCGCGCTCAGGCCTCTCGCCGCGCCTACTCCGTCGTCGTCGACGCGCCCCCGGCCCAGTGGGTCGCAAAGCGCGAGGAGATCAAAGCCCACGCCAAGGGTCCGTCCTCCTGTTTTCTCTCGAAATATCATACTGATATTCTGAAATGAAGGTACCACCCAGCTCTGGCGCCGTATCTGGTGTGTATATTTTATTCCATTCTTCAGAGCTCGTCGAGCTAACTCTTGACACAGCTTCTTCGTCTGCGTCCCCGGTAGTAAGTCCAGACACGGACATGAGCGGCGTTCCGTTCTCATTCCACTATAGCCGTCGCTACCATCCTTTGGGTTCGCAACGTCGAGGCCGAGCACGCCGCGCACATTGAGCACGAGAAGCACGAGAACGGTGGCAACCTCCCTGAGATTCCAGCGTACGAGTACCTCAACAAGCGCCAGAAGCCCTTCCCTTGGGGCATGAACTCGCTGTTCTACAACCCCGCGGTATGTGGCTTAGATGCATTGTATCCACGTGCTCGGTCATTGAACGTCTATTCTAGGTCAACAAGAACATGGAGGAGTCCGAGTGATTGTAGTCCTGTAGATCGGGCTGAATACACTATTTGTTGCGTCGTCGTTGCGCCTTGCGTGATATGTCTGAATTCGATATAATGCCTGCAGCCCACCAGTGGCTTGTCGTAGAGGTTCGGATGATGCTAGACTTCAGGCCAATTAAATAAGAGATATCACGGCCTTGGGCGGACAGTCGGGCCGAGTGAACCGCGCACCCGTCGGGATCATGACTTCACCAGGGTCAGCGTCTCGAACTTGGAAGAGAGATTCGGCAGCACAAGTCGAGAAGCACTTCTTTCCTTCACCACCACCATCTCTATTCCATCGCAACCCGAACGATGCCTAACGCGATCATCTCGCCCTCCGTCCTCGCCTCCGACTTCGGCCAGTTGACGGCCGAGTGCAAGCGTATGATCAAAGGCGGCGCGGAATGGCTGCATATGGGTACGTCCCGCTCGCCCCCGGATTCGCCTTGCCCCTCCTCACCATGACCTCCTCACGATTCCAGACGTTATGGACGGGTGAGCATTCATCATCGACGCGTCGACGTCCCAAATTACTCACTCTTCCCCAGACACTTCGTCCCCAACATCACGATCGGTGTGTGCCGGATCGTGTGCGCGCTCATGCTCGCGTCTTCTCACTATCTCCAGGCCCGCCTGTCCTTGCGTGGGTGGCGAAATCCGTGCCGGGTGTCTTCATGGACTGCCATATGATGGTCTCGCGTCCCGAACAGGTGCGATCTCTGCTCCAGCATTCCCGCACATCGCGCTGACTGGACATCCGACGCTGCTTAGTGGGTGGATGACATTGCGGATGCTGGCGGAAAGCTATACTGTTTCCACATCGAAGCGACATGTGAGCGCCTCTCGCATGACCTTGTATGCCGTACCCACAGAGATGCTGACTACTCACTGTGAAGCAAACCCCATCCCAATCATCGAAGCCATTCATGAACGCAAGATGAAGGCAGGAATCGCCATCTCGCCCGATACGCCCTCGACTGCCATCACCGACGAGGTTGGCGCGCTCGTCGACATGATTCTTGTTATGACGGTACACCCAGGTGCGTTACCGTCCTGAAAGCGCCCATCGCCACAACTCGGTTTGAATGTTGATGCAGGACGCGGCGGCCAGAAGTTCATTGAGCGCTGTGTGCCCAAAGTCTCCGAACTCCGCGCAAGGTTCCCGGACAAAGATATCGAGGTTGACGGCGGCGTTGGACCCAAGACGATTCAGCAGTGCGCAGACGCAGGTAAGCAGGCGCTCTCCTCTCCTCCCCGCATGCTCTTGTACCGCCGGATGGCGCAGACGCTGCGTCCCCACTTTTTTCTCCGCGCGTTCCTGTCTGTGCCCCGGATCCCGTTTTCAGTCCCCGCATGCTCATCCGCCCTCGACAGGGAGCAACGTCATCGTTGCCGGCACAGCCATCTTCGGGGCGGACGATCCGAACGGTGTTATCAATACGCTCAAGACGACCGTGAACGAAGCTCAGGCGCGTATCGCTGCAAAGTGATCGTAGGCGCAGCACTCGAGGAATACTGGAGGGAATGAAACGGACAAGGATGGTAACCATGTATCCATTAGCCAACCGACATTGGTACAGGTGTAGAATAGAGACGCTATCTATTTGCTTTTACACTTCTGCGGCTATTGCCGACACCATGGGAGCCGCATCGTCGTCGGCCGCGTGTCAACCGACCAACTGTTGCTCCAGCCACCATCAAGCTTTTCTCCCACATGCCAATTCGATGGTCGAGTCCGTGCACAACATGAGGTCAGTAGATGTACTCTCGCCAACCCTTCGATCACTCACGTACGAAGACATAGCGCCTGCGCCATTAATCGTCTGAATATAGACTGCCTAGTCTTCATTTTCTACGAGGATGTCCTTGCAGAAGACCCGCCAGAGTTGTATACCGCAAACTGGGAGTGGGACGATAGTGGAGACGAAACGTTCCGCGAGTTGATTGGAGACGCTTATGGACATAGAGGCTGGGCTCTACTTCGACTAAGTCATGTGTGTAGGAGGTGGAGAGAGGTTGCGCTCAGCCTGTCGTCTTTATGGGCGAGTGTAGTGGCCCAACTCTCGATGTGGGACCCCGATGGCGGATATCAAATGACATTAGATCGCTCTCGGGGACTACCCCTGTCATTTGTACTGCCGGATCGCCCGCTTGGGTCCCGTATGGAGAGACAACTCGCGGAGGATATCGCCCAGTTTGGTACCATCATTTTCGACAGTGATCGCTCTGCATGGCCACTGTGTCTCTCAGGGAGACACGCCAATCTACTTCGAAAAGCTATCTTCATCACGGGTGGCTACCCAGATTCCTCACATCCTTGGTTGGATATCGAGCCATTGCACATGCCGCTTGCGACCCATCTCGTCTTCGACGGGGTTTACATGCCGTTCGTCGCCCCGCAACTCACCTATCTTGTGATCAACATTCAAATGGCCTGTCTATCTGCACGACGCATATGTGATGTGCTACAAAGCGCGCCACTCTTAGAAGTGTTGAACTTGAGTCAATACTTTCCAGCAGGAGCCTGGCCATCGGATGGCATCGAAAAGCGCTCCGTATCGCTCCCTCGACTATCCTCTCTCAAAATATATCGTCCTTCCTTCTTAACCTCTCGTCGCCGGACGACCTTGTACTCAAGATTTGCGTGTACGAGATCGTAAACGTCGGCATCTTCTCGCAACTCGTGGACGTTCTTCGTCCATATATGGCCAACCCCTCATACAATCATCTGACGGCCAGTGATTGTTTCCAGACCTGGCAGGACGCAGCCGATACTCCTCCCCTGTTCTCGTTACGTCAAGGTCCCAACGGGAAGAGACGAGTAGCTGTTCACGTCAATATGGATGGCGCCAGACAGATAACCTCGCTTCACCAATTGGCGTTCGGGTCTCTGGTCCCGGGTCAGATACGCATACTGTCCATCGAGAATTGGAAGTTCGATAGATATCCGCTGTTTCCCTCTGTTCAGGCGAACGGCGCTTTTCATCTCGATGTCCTCAGCGCGCATGTCGAGGAGCTTCACTACGAAATGCGCGACCTGACGATGGCGTCAATTTGGGATCGCGACAATCGGAGATGGGGAACCGGCCTTCTACCATACTTCATCCTTCGTTATCCTGAAACATACCCTCTTCTGCGACGCATATATGCGCACGGCGGGTCCAAGATTCCCGACCTGCCGTGGCCATCAGCTGCTCAGCTGCTCGGCATAAGAGAGTGGCATGAGTTGCGCGTTCGAGGAGGCGTGTGTTTAGAGGTTCTCCATCTAGAGGGGCAGCTTCCGCTGGGCATCTCGGCTCAGACCACTTCTCTCGAGCTTCTCGGGAGTGAAGTCCCTGTCGTTGACGATCGTCGCATCATGGCTGTTTCCCCCTCTCCCAGTCCACCCTCGTCCAATGGCGATGATTCTAATGATGACGCAGAGTTCATTGGATAGACATCAATGTCATAACCATTGAAACGGAAGCGAGTGAAGTCGCAGAGGGTGCACTTCTCATCTCGCTTCGGTCCCTCCAGAAAGACACGCACTGGAGCTATGGTTTGCGGCCTCAGTGGTCGCATGCAGTCTTTCATATGTATCCCTCGACTGGGACTAGTAGGACATGGCGTGATCGTTCAGGCCGCGATCACTCGGGTATGAGGGTTCATACAATGCATGAGGAGCCTAAATAATGCGTGGTGTATGTATATGTACGGCAAAGCTTCCAAGAGTCTAGCTACTAGATTTAAGATTACCGATCGCGAGTCCGTGGGCGCGCCTGCGCGCGGTCAGGCAACCACGCCAACGACATGTCCGTCAAGCACTCCTCCACCACCTCCCCTCCCCTCTTCCTTTCGGTATAGTGTATATTATGAGACATACAGACACAAAGCATGTACGCCCCCTGATGGGGACAGTGGCGACGGCAGTTGTATCTACCAGTCGAGCCACTCGCCGTACATGTTTGGACGCTCGCCACGGATGTACGACTCGAATGTGCGCTTAAGCACTGTTGCCCAGTCCAGGTCGCGCTTGTCGTCCTTGACAAAGTCCTCAGGGAGCTCGATTGTCGAGTTCATGCCCTCTGCGCCAAGCCGTGCACGGCGCTCGCCCTCCATGAATCGGGGACCAAGGTCTGGCCAGTTGCGTGAGCGGTCGAAAGGTTCCCACCTGGCGCGGCGATTAGAACAAATCGAACTACAGATGGTCGACGCGACATACCAGAAGTTGTGGAAGTGGTATGAATATGCGCCACGGTAGAAGCCCTCGAAGCCAAGAGCCTGCGGCTGCGAGCTGACCTGCGTAGGCGTATTGAAAAAGTCCGCGAACCTTCACACGCGCAGTTAGTCGCACGCCCACCCTACGACTGTGCAAAGTGCCACTCACTCAAGCAGGTACGGCTGCGGTGGCCTGTTGCGCTGGAAGTCTTCCGTGTTCAACCATGCCGAGTCGAAGAGAGCGTCGGGCAGACGGAGCAGAAGTCCTTCGACTGCTGCGTCCTTGGTGTATTTGCTGACGGACATCGGGTGGAAGTCAAGTCCGTTCTTCAGCGCGGTACGGAAGAGGAAGGTGCCGAGGGCGGAGTTGCGGTTCATACGCAGGACGGCCGTATTGTACTTCTCCATGCGTGACCAGCGATACGCGAACGCGCCCTTCCAGCCCCAGAGCTCCTCCCAGTCGCGCAGGAAGATCGTGTCGGCGTCGAGATAGATGCCGCCAAAGCGATGGCAGAGCACGAATCGCGCCATATCCGAAAGCGTGACGGATAGACGGTCATAAGTGCTGGCTGATTTGGAGCCTAGGCGGTTGATCATGTCGTCCTCTTTCTTTTCGGTGCCTTCGCTCTCAGGCTCCTCAACCTTCTCCGGTACCTGCACGACATGACCGCCCGAGTTGAAGAGTGGCAATGCGCGCCATTCGTCTTTGAGTTCTGGTATACCGTCAAGCTGTTCCGTCGTGTTCCATAGTTTGAATTTGATTACGTCCTTGAAGCGCGGGTGCAAGAACGGCGACGCCCACGGGCTGACCTTCAAGCCTTCGAACAGGTCGTGTACGGCACTGGGATTGGGGACAGACGCGGCAGGTCCGGGATTAATCCACATCCAGAATTGCGGGCGGCAGACAGATGCGTCAGGCGCGTCCTCGTGCACATTGAGGCGCAAGTTCTGCGTAAACAAGAACGAGAGCATCGCAAGATACGGCTTGTCCGTGACAGGTCCTGCCCAGAACATGTGGAATATGCGAGGGTTTTCAGGGTCGCATGTCGACGGGAGGGCGTGGTAGGGCGTGTGCGTGCGTGGAGTGGGCAGTGACAGATGCGGCTCGTAGTCTACGCGCGGCTTCTTGGGCAGGCCGTGATTGGGGTCCGTGGAAACGATGCCGGTGGAAACGCCGTCGTTATCCCGTAGTGAGGCGGCGGCGACGGCAGACACGTCCTGCACGTCGCCGATTTCAGAGTAGATGTATTTCCACTCGTTCATCTTCCCTCTCCGTACACGGTTGCCGTTATCCAACCCAGCGCCAAGCCGGAGAACTTCCAAGCAATCGCGAACGTACTATATGCGACTGTATTAGTTCAGGTGTTATGTACGCGGCGCGAACACGCTACTCACCTTCTGTTGCGAGAAATCGCAGTGGTCCATGACGATGTCGAGGTCTGCCACGCTGCCGGGTACGGGTCGTGGCGGATATGCGACATTTGGGGGTTTGGCCTGTATGTCGAGATAGACGCGTTTGGGGCCGTGTCCGGCTGTGCGCACGCCGGTCTCGCTGGGGATCTTTGGTTGGAGGATGATGGGCGCGTTCTTTGCCGGCAGCGCGGGATTAAGTGGTCGGGTCGTAAAGTTCATCAAATGGGGTACTGGAGGGCTGGAGCGTCAGAAAAGCGGTGTCCGCGCTGGCACGGGCAGTAGAGAGACGCACTCTCGCGGTTGCTCGGGTAGTGACCGCTCGCGATCTCCCAGAGCCAGATCTTTTGGAGGTCTTCGCGTTCGTAGACGAGGGTGGGAGGGTCGCGCATGCCAATGTCTATCGGCCAGTTCTCTGTCGTCGCCTTGCCGATGCTCCTTGTGAGCTTGACAAAGACGGTGGCGATGGAGAGCGCGGCGAGGAGGAGGACGAGCAGGCCGCGTCTCCTCCCGAACCGCGTCGTCGCTGCGTGGTGCATCCGGGCCAGGTTCGGGGCCGGTATCCGTAGCCGCCTGTGCTGCACGCCCGGTATGGGAATCGAGAGCGGGACCGTCCACGACTGCGAGCGGCCCGACCGGTGCAGCTTTTCCTGCACCGCAGAGTTGTATTTCGGCAGCGCCGCGCCGCCATTGCGAAAGCCGTTGCCTTTCGGTTCGCCGCTGAAGAGGGGCATCGGGGCCGCGGCTGCAAGCTACTCAAAGCTGCGAGGGGTGGTGGAGGACTGAGTGAAGCCTAGAACACGTCCGACTGCGTACAGCGCACACCATCACTTCCTGTCACATCTCCGAGCCGCGCTCGCCTTCCGCTGCTCTTCCACGTGGCAAACATTCGTTTTCTCTATATCCGAAAACACTACAGCAATGGTACAGTTCTACGTTGATACAAGCACGATCCTCAATCAAATCACTGGGCGCCCGCAAGCGGCTGCGCCTCAAGGTCCGCACCATCCGTCGGCACAGACAGCACACGGAGCGTGTTCGTGTGCCCGAGACCGCCCTTCCATCCCTGGACGGCGATAATCGTCGATCCAGGCTGGACGAGCTTGAGCTCGAGCGCCTGGCGCAGACCAAACCTGATGCGGTTGTCGACGTCCGTCTGCCACTGGTGCGCCTGCACACCGCGCGGCTCGGGGTACCAGAACGGATAAACGCCCCGGTGGAGGTGAATCTGGCGCGCCGTCTGCTCACTGCGCGTGACTGCAGGTCAAAGTCAGTCTTGGTTTGGCGATGACGACTGTAGCGTCTATGCGTACCCGTGATGATGGGCACGTTCGGGCGGTACTTGGCAATCAAGCGCGCGGTGTTGCCGCTGGTCGACAGAACGAGGATCGCATCCGCGTTGGCCTCATACGCCGCCGATACCGCCGACATGCCGATCGCCTCGACCGTCTGCACTGGGCGCGAAGTCATAGCCCTGAGCTCGTCGTACAGGGGCGGGTAGCAGATGGACTTCTCCGCGAGCAAGCACGTCTCAGCCATCATAAGGACTGTAACAAAATCAGCACACTAGCGCGCCGTTTCAAGTCTGAGTTGACATACCGGCCTCGATCGGGTAAGAGCCCTTGGCCGTCTCTCCGGAAAGCATGACACAGTCAGCACCATCAAGGACGGCGTTGGCAACATCAGAGACCTCAGCGCGCGTCGGGCGCGGGTTGTAGGTCATGCTCTCGAGCATCTGGGTGGCGACGATGACGGGCTTGCCGGCCATGTTGCACTTGGCGATCATCATCTTCTGCGCAAGGAAGACCTGCGACGCCGGAATCTCAATACCGAGATCACCACGAGCAACCATGACACCGTCAGTCTCGGCAAGGATCTCGTCAAAGTTGACAAGACCCTGCTCGTTCTCGATCTTCACGATGATCTTGATGTTTTGGCCGTCGGGGCCAAGGACCTCACGGATGTCGCGCACGTCCTGGCCGCGGCGGATGAAGGAGGCGAAGATCATATCGACACCGTTCTTGACACCGAACCTAAGGTCGTTCTTGTCCTTCTCCGAGAGGGCAGGCAAGTCGACCGGGGTCTTGGGAAGGTTGACACCCTTGCGCGAGGAGAGCGTGCCGTTGTTGATAGCACGGACGCGAACGTTCGTGCCCTCAATCGAGAGGACGAGGAGCGAGAGGATACCTGAACATAGTTCAGTCTTTGCATCTGTATTCGCCGACGACTTATAACGCACCGTCATCGACGTAGATGAGCTTGCCCGGTGCGGTAACCTTGGGCAAGTTGGGCTACGAGACGTCAGTACAGGTTTGAATGAAAAATGCTATAAGAAACGCACGTAGTCCATGAAGAGAACCTTGTCGTCACCAGACTCCTTGTACTGGGGGTCGACGGACACGATGAACTCATGGCCGGCCTTGATAGGAACCTACAGGCAAAATTCAGCTTCTCCACGCGTATTCTGACATGAGAAATAACGCACGTCCTGGTTGTTCTTCATCAGACCAGTACGGATCTCAGGGCCTTTCTGTGCGGCGTTTAGCCTTGCCTGTGGCGAAGTCGTGCGTAAATACGCACAGTGTCAAGGGCAATCGCAACCGGGCGGCCGGCATTGTCTGCGAACAGCATATGTTAGCATCTGTGTTAGTTTTAGGTATTGTCTTCAAACGCACTTGCGAGCATAGCACGCGTATTGTCGATCACACTCTGATGGTATGAATACTCGCCGTGCGAGAAGTTCATGCGCACTGCCGGAGTGGGATAGTTAGCTTCCGCGACTTCTCCGCTCTGCCAAGATAGAAGCGCGCCGCACCGATGTTGACACCCGCATTGCGCAACTCAGCGAGCTTCTCTACGCTGTTTGTCTTGGGGCCTGTAAGGATCCTTGGGTTAGGCGCGTGTAATCCGAGTCGTGAAAGGAGATGTACGCACCGATGGTGGCGATGATGGCCGTCTTTAGCGCGCGCTCAGTGAGATGATCGCAGACGTTGAGGAGGGCAGCATACACACCTTGCGGTAGTACTTGGTTTCCTCGGTCGGCAGAGGCGCCGAGGCAGGGTTGAGGGTGGTGTTCCACTCGAGACGGGAGCGGATACCTTCGGTCGAGAGCGACACAGCAGTCATTTTTTTCACTGGGGAAGATCGGTAAAAGGAGGAAGGGTCAGCGAGACGCTCTTATATAGCCGTCGATGGCCAAGGGGTGGGTATGCTTAAGGCCGACTTACGGAGGTGGATCGAAGCAAGAGGCAAGAAGCGAGGCGCAGCGGCGTAAAATTCGGCGTGCAATCAACTCGCCCCAACATCGCTCAATCAGGACGTCCAAGAATGCTCCCCATTCGCTCGTCGACACGTTCGTGCTCTCGTCCATCGACACGCCTAGTAACTTGGCAACTTCCATGGATTGCTAAACCTATCTGAGGCTGTACTGGAGACTTCGCTGTCTCTTGGCTATGTGATGTAACATGGAAACGAAGGTCCATAACTAGGAGGGGGGGGGCGCGCATACAGGGAAACGGACTCGGCAGAAGCCCAGCCATCAAATATATACGGTAAGCGGATGATATGAGCACAGCAAGTCGGACAACAGCAACGCAGAGAAAACGTCTCTCGAGAACCAAACATAAAACGAATATAATAAATGCCAGCTACAGCACACGCAACGACCAGGCGTAGTTCCCACCCTCCACATGCGCTTGCGCCGCGGCGGCCGTAAGCCACTCGCTGCTTCCGTTTTGAGGCGCGCCCGCCATTAGGTCCAAGCCCTGGAAGACGTTCTCGACGGTAATCGTGCGGCCAGAATGGTATCCGACGCCGTCGCTAGAACGGATGAAGAGCAACGGAAGCGTGCGGCCGGCCACGTCGCTTGGTTGCGGGTTGCCATTTACTGGAGGCGCCGGCGCTGGCGTTTCACTCTCTTTCGTGGTGCCATCTGCAGCGCCCTCCGCCGCGGGTGACTCGGCGAGCGCAGCGACCACCTCCGTCAACGTCGGCAGCTCAACAACCACGATCGTGTGCAGCGGCGAGTGCAGGAAGCGATTTGACACCACACCGGCTTCGTTCCCGCTTTCAGACGGTACGAATGGCGAGATGGATGTCAACGGTCCAGGTGGCGCAGCCTCGTACACCCGCGCCCGCAGAGGGCCGATCCCGCCGAGGTAGATGTCGAGCGGCAGCCTCTGTTGCGTTGTCGGGTCATCGTAAAAGAAGTTTGACACCGTCAATTCCAGCGCGTTTGTTTGCGGCCGATAGACCGGAGACGTGAACAGCGTTGGAAACGGTGTGATAGACATGTCTGGAACATTGTTGCTGGGTCCAAACGCATCGAAGAACGTGTACTGGAACTTTGCTATCATATCAAGGGTTGCGCTCAGCACAAGGCGTCGGGACGGAGCTTGCATACGGTACGTACAGATTCCGACGATGGTCCAACAGAGATAGTCGTCGACTTCATCCGTCACAGTCCGCACGCCATCTTTGACTTCATCTCGGACACGAGGGGACTGGAAGATGAGCGGATGCGTCCCGGCCTGTCCGGGCGGCGGCTGGGGTGTCGTGGGAGCGCCGCCACCGGGCATAGGGCCGGCCGCAGAAAGGTAGTGGCGCGAGCCGTCGGCATTCACACGCTGCAAGGCGATCTTCTGCATCTGGCTTACCGGACCACCATCGTCCGAAGCAATGCGACCCTTGTCAACCTTGCGGATGACAAGCGGCGCTGTCGAGATACCGGACAGCGTATCGGTAAGGACGACTTCTGAGCCGTATGTCACGGGTTGCGGGTCTTTGAGCGGAGAAATCAGTAATAGAACGAAGTCTAGGAGACTCGGCAGAGCACGCACTGACGTTGGGCACTTCTTGCGAGCGCCGCATGACGTTGACGCTAAAGGCCGACCAAGAAACATTGCTGGCGCAGAGCTGATTGTTGTCGATGGTCATGTACTTTGTCCGCACGGTCTGCGAGTTGATGCGGTTGAACAAACTGACTGGACCGCCCGCAAGGATGCAGGAAGAAATGTTGCGCGTCTTTGCTGTCTTCTTGCTCGGTTTGGAAATGATCGTGACCGGCGCGGAATCGAAGGAGGCCCAGATGCGACCGACCGCATGCGGGGGATCGTCGGAGTGCGTCGAAGAGGGGAGAGCAGGCGGCTCGGCGATATCGAGCGAGAGCAGGAAGCTCTTTGCCTTTGCAGTGCCAGTGACATGAAGGAACTTGAAGCTGGCGGACATCTGGGCGTCGAGTGTGGAGTTCTGCCCGAACGAACGCTCGCCCGTCTCAGACACAACGCTCATGGACAACTTTTGCTGGCGCATGTTCCAGCCCGGGCCCTCTACATGGACGACGGGAGGAGGACAGAGGAAGCGCTTCTCGCTACCGTACGACTTTTGGGCGACTGCGGCATGCAGACAGACAATGGTCGTCATGGGGGCGTTCGGCTGAACGACATGCTCGCGCACGACGCGTCGAATCTTTGGGTGAGGATCCTCAGCATCAGCGTCATCGAGCTTTCGTTTACCAGAGGTGTTTGCCTAGCACGTGACCATTCAACATTCCAAGTCTAGACGAGGCGAATAACATCCTAGTGAGCTTACCGATCGCGTCGACGCGGATGGTCCGGCAGTGGTCGAAGGAGGCATGACAAACTGCTGCACAGGCCAGGGCGGGGGAGTGCTTGAAGCTTGGGGCAAGTCGCGAGCTGCGGCGAGTATGGACTGAATGGACGCGTTCTGGTCCTGGGGGTCGAGTGGCGGGGTCGGCGAGGCGTCCGGGGGAGGGGAATGCTGTACTGCGCTGGCAACGAGCGAGGCGAGCTCCTGCGCTGACGGAGGACGGTGGGCGTCTGAGGATAGGCCGTGTACAGTCCGCGCCATAGTGGGCCAGCTTATAGCGATTCGAAGCGCAAGTCGGGAATCGCACGCCTCTGCGTGTAGGTCGTGGGAGAGGCTCAAGAGTGCCGCGAGAGTCAAGGAGAAAACGCGCCCCTCCAGATCGCGTAAGCTCATGTCACGCGCGTGACCTCACTAATCAACGAAGCGCCTCGCTTGCCTCCCTGCGGCCCTCCTCTCGAGCCTGCTCTCGCTCCGTCTCGTGCAGGGATACAGCGGCAGACCATGTCGCATTCATAGTCCTCGAATGACCAATCGATCCATCCGCGGGAGAAGCTTGCCCTTATCAGACGCCTGCGACTTTCGACAGCGCGTTCGCAGGGTCATGCGGGACAACCGTGTGCTCTTCAACTGAATACAGAAGCTGGCGAGCGCCAATTATCCTACAGTTCTATACCCATGGGAAAGCCGTGCACACACAAATCCACAGTCAGAAGGTCCGGAAACGTCCATCAAAATACACCCGCCAACGCCGACAAACCCCATCCATGTCCACCATCCCTGATGCCGACCCCGTCCGACGGATCGAGGAAGAGCGATCCGGGAGCGACGTCCTTCGCGTCTTCCAACCTGCTGCGCGAACGCGAGCGCTGGGCAAAAGCCAGGTGCAGCGACTCTTCGTTGCATGATTCGTCCGAGTACGGAGAATATAGCCGCTCGTCATCCGCGTCATGGATGCGAGCGCTGTATGATGGATGGGCGGTGGGAACGAGGACTACGTAGTGTTGTACATCAATATGATGAGAATCCTGGCCATACAAAGGGCCACTCACAGACAGAAAGCACGCCAAGTTTATCCTCTGCACGAATCACGGCATCAAGCCCTGTACGGTCGACGTCCTCGTCCTCGTCGACAATTTCCGACCGGGATGGATCCGCGCTGTCTTCGCCCTCGACGCCATAACGGACCCAGTCAAACTCCTGCTCTTGCTCGCGTGACGAGCTGGGGAAAAATCCGCCTAAAGAGAACGCGTCTTCACGATCTAGTCGGGACGATGTGGGTGTGCGACGAAGCGCAGGCGAGGAGGGAGCAAGCTTTGTAGTGACGAGAAAGTCTACGCTAGTTTTCGTGCGCTTCATGGGTGCGCGAATTGCCTGAGCGAAGCTGGAGGCGGGGGAACCCAGAACCGGCGCGGACTGTATGCGTTGCATCTTTTCGGAAGCTGGTGGGAAACGCTTTTTGGCCGAGCTTTGAGTGCGGGGAAGCAGGTGGTAGTTTGCGGGGTAGCTAGCATGCTGGCGAACCCCAACTGTTTAATATATGTCGAGTGCATGGGTTCAAGTTCCGACGCCCCCAACCAGACCGTCTCGCGCTGCGGTCTCGGCCTTCCGCGTCCTGGCCCGCCCAGCCACGGATCCCGAATCCACCCGTACCTCACAAACGAGAGATCGTGCAAATCGGTACTGCAACATGTCTCTATATGGCACTGTGCCTTGGCTTTCGCTCATAAGAAGAGACAGGCCTCTTGTCCTGACTCGCGCCAGCACCACTGATACACCGCCGACGCGCCGCTTCTACGCCCACTAGGCTGCTAATCGTGCACAACTCTAAAGTCAATTATACTTTGCATGAAATGTGCGCAATGTTCAATGATGTAGCTGTCTGACAATTACGTGCGATGGTATAGTAGGATGAACAAGACAAGACGGTTGTGGGAAGAAATCATTTAGAACCAAGAGAGGAACTGCAAAAGAACAAATGTCAATAATCCTCGTCGTCTTCGTCGCCTCCTCCGTAGGATTGATAGCCATAGTGCCTTTGTCCACGACGAGGTCCATGGTGGTATGAGCTCGTATCGCGCTCCCGGCTAATACCGGCAATGTCGGCGAGGTTCACGTAGCCCTCACTCATCGTCACGCCGCCTTGCGTGCCCGAACGGATGGCTCTCCACGTTGCACGGCACCACACGCATGTCAATTTGCCTCCGTGCTTGGACTTCTCCCCTGTGAATGGAAAATGGTCCATTCATTGAGCCAGGTACAGAGCGAGGAAGGAAAGAAGCGAAGCAAGAAGGAATCGAAATCAGTACGGCTTGACACAAGTAGTAAGACGTAATACTGCTTACACTGCTCGAAACACACTTTATGTAGTGCGTTGTGGCAGACGTCACAGAATGTGAGTTTTTTCGCGTCAATGCCATGCATGCCTTCGTAGCATATGGGACAGTCATCTTCGGGACCGGGCATTTTCTGTTTATTACTCGTGTCAGGGCCCGCTGTCTGACCAATCGCACGGGCCAGAGCAGCCTTGATGCCGGGATGAACTTCAGCATTCGGCGCGAGCGGGGCTGCAGCAAAGATCTCTTGTAATTCGCTCGAGAGAAGAGCCTTTTGATACCAATACCCCGAGGCCTCAGTCACTTGGAGGACTTTGAGAAAGATGAATAACTACGTTGCGTGAGAATCCATGAAACCGACCAGGTGGTCCGCACTCACGATATGTTTGCAATGATTGCCCTTCTGGGAATCTGGACATGTGCAGGACGGCATTTTGTCGATACACACGGTGTACACCTGGTAAATCGTGAGATTATGTTACAAGCGCTGGACACGATCACGTACATTTCCCGTTGATCCTAATACGTCGAACTCCTCCTTGAGCTCTCCCATCGCTCGCCTTCGTTCTATCATGAAGAATCGCTGATCACGGACTCGTTGTACGCGTTCCAAGATAGTCTTCGGGCACGCCTTTTTGAAACGCGCTGCCCGTTTTTCCAGCGGTGGTTCGCCTGTAGCTTTCGTGCGGCGCTTCCTGGCCTGTGACGGCCCCGGAGTAGCTATGGCATCTAGTGCGGCAAACACGCGGGCATGCGCTTGTGGCACGGGTTGTGAGGCAGGTAACCTAGGAGGATAGTCGTAGGCATGAGCCTCCACACGTGGGGTGGGCTGCGAGGCTGGCAGAGGTCTGGAGGCCGGAAGTTCTCTGGGTGTCGGGGAGGGCGGAGGTGGAGAGGCATGTCGACTAGGCCCGGGTTGCTTGTACGTCGTGATGTCCAGAGGCTTCAGAGCGCCCTTCTGTTGGGAATTGGAGGCCGACGTTTGACTCGGTTTCGCAGGTGTCGGTCGGCAAGTATGCAAGGAAGGCGTGGTTTGGTGCTGAGGAGTGAACGGGATGCACGGGGAGGAGGCGGGTTGAGAGACAGAGGCACCAGTCCGTCGCTTTTTCGCTAGAGGTTCACTGATTTGCGCTACAGGCGTGGTGGAGGATGTTGGATGGGGTTGAGCATAGTCATGCGCACTAATTTGCGGCGGTGGCGGATAGTCATATGCATTGGGTGCGACTGGTGGCGGATAGTCATGCGCAGTTGGCTCAGGCGAAGTCCAAGCAAACACTTCTCGTTCTGGCGTCTGAGCCGGGTAATTAAGCTCATACGACTCATATCGTGAGAAGCCCTCCGGGAGCTGGAGAGATGCGGAAGAAGATGTCGGCTTCGGTTTGCGTGGGCTGTTGGTAAGGTCAATGATAGAGTGGTCACCGCCGCGCCCTGGCCTCCTCGGGTTACGTGCAGCTGGTTTAGGCTCGTCTTCGTCCGTTAAAGTCAGATCAATATCGCATTCAGGTGCCGCTCGTTTGGATCCGGGCATTGACAAGAGCCAGATGACAAGAGCAGTGGCAAACAAGGTGACCACAGTAGGCTGAGATGATGGTCGAAGGCAAAGAAGCTGTAGGCGTGCCGTTTGTTGATTGACGCGCCACTAGAGCCTTCTCCCACCTCCAACCGTGATTTCCACGTCCCTGACCATGAATGTGTACTTGCTGAGTCTACCTCACAACATCTAGATAAGTTGGGCTGTCATAGCCTACGACACTGCCCAGCTGACCGGCGTGAAACGATGTACCTGATTCCGGCTTAGCTTTGCCACTGCCTTTTGGCATTCTGTCTGACACGAACGTGAACGGTGCTGTCATTGTCAAACTCTCGGCGCTGGACGCTGTGGCGGTTCGCGCCCGAGTAGATGCGAACTTTCACTGGCGTGTCCATACATCGGAGGACGTGGCCAGGTTGCGAATAGATGGGGAGGAGGGGGCCGCAATCTAGTGCGCTCGCCTTAGCAGAAACCACCATGTCCCTCGCGTCGGCCTATGAGGCTGCAGGCCGCCTACGTGAAAGTATCTTGCAACAGGTTCAGCGTGCCATTATCGCCACCTTCCGTGCTGGTCCTGTTCCGCGGCATGTCGCCTTCGTCATGGACGGTAATCGACGCTATGCGCGCTCGCAGGGGAAGCACGTCTTCGAGGGTCATCTCAACGGTTTCTATGCTTTGCGTCGCGTGTGTACCGCAGTCCGTCCCACGCACTGTGAACTATCTAAGCCTGTCACCAGATACTGGAGATTATGTACCTGCTTGGCGTGCAGTGCGTTTCTGTATACGCCTTCGCTATCGACAATTTCAAGCGACCGGCCGAGGAAGTTGATGCGCTCATGAAACTCGCCGAAGAGCGCTTAATCGAGTTCTGCCAGCACGGGTGCGTCGACACGTACCGCCGACATCCAAATAAACGTGAATCAATTCTGCAGAGGTGTTCTCGCCGAATATGGCGTGCGGCTCGTCGCAGTAGGAAACTTGAGTCTTTGTCCACCGGCCGTTCAGGCAGCGCTGCGGAAAGCCGAAGAGCTCACCAAAGACAACACGAAGTGAGGTAACTATGTAGGGTTGCTACTGTTATTGACGATAGTGCGCTGTAGGGCTGTCTTCAACTTGTGCATATCTTACTCCTCCCGGGACGAGATGGCTACAGCCGTCGAAGAAACCATCAACGAGAAGCTTCATTCACAGTCCTTTACGTTTGTATCTGATTTCTGCGAGAGCCGATACACTAGCTGAATGGAACATACAGTCCTATTGCCGTGTCGGACGTCGACGCACATATGATGACAGCTAAGGCTGCGAGTCCACCACTGGACATTTACGTCCGCACCAGTGGTGTAACGCGCTTCAGCGACTATCTACTATGGCAGGTCCGTACACTCTGATTTCACATTAGCCTTGGTACTGATCATCGCCGACTGCTTGGGGATTCTTCATTTGCTGTCATCCAATATTCGTCTTGTGACAGTGCTGCGAAGATACCCAGATCCAGTTCATTGATAGATATTGGCCTGAAATCGGCCTTTTAGACATGGTACCCGTCCTGCTTGACTATCAACGAAAGGTCTGGACGCGCTAAGTCGGTCACACATTACACGCGTGAACGAGCGAGCATGTTGCCTCAGGCGTTTGTTGGTTACAGAATAAATGGTGCTAAATTTACTCGTCGATGTCACGCCATAGACTGTTGAACAGACGCCTACACGACTGCCCTGATCATGCAAAGTCACTGACAGATCGTAATATCACATTCGCAACGGATGGTAATTGCTGGTCAAGCGAGCCTCCCGTATCAACCTGTAACATTCGTAACAAGTACAAGGATGCCTAACAAGGTGGGGCATAACAAAGTTGAGGACGCTAAATGGACAGTCCGATGAAAACTAGGAGAACAAATGGTGGCCCAATAAGGTACGTGAAATGGAAAGAAAGGCATGAAGAAGGGTGAAACTGGAGTACTAAACGACGTGGGCAGAGACAACAAGATAACGAGCGTAGAGTAAATGATGGTGGTTCCAGGTCCGGGTAGAGGCGATAGATGCTAGAGACAGGTGTCCGTGGAGAGTGATCCAAGTCCATGATCAAATCGGGGCGATGGGATATGTATAGGGAAGATGTGGCTGTGTTGCGAAGACGGAAAACAAGTGCGACAGATAACTTTCATACGGGTACACGCCCGTTCGTCATGAATGAAGGTATGGGTTTACGTCGGAGGATCGCGAGGGCTGGGCAAGTTGGACATACGGTGACTGTTGCGGCGTTCGTTGGGAAACGGCACAGGGCTTGGACCACCAGAGCGACGAGGGGCAGCTTCGTCCGCCTGCGATTGGTAACGCTGCCAATCCTCAACCTTCATCAGGCTGGCGCGCTTGCTGTGGCCGCCGACAACAGCGAGCTTATCGGCGCTGAAGCTACGAGAGTGACGAGATCCACGCCTATCACGATCGTCGGCAGTGTCACCGCTTCGAGAGTGAACGTGCTGTGCGCGTTCGGCCAGACGACGTTCAACGTCCTGCTTCTCAATCTGACGGGCTCGATCCCAACGGGCACGGGCAGCCGCGATATCCGCGCGCTCCTTCTCCTGGCTAGTGAGTGGCCCCTGTAGTTCCCGCATCTTCTCGCGGTGGCGCTGCGTGAGCTCTTCGTAGGTGACAGTGCGTGGGCCTGGCGATGTAGGTGAGGGCTGTGAGGGGCCCGGAGACCGCGTGGGAGGGAGGATGGTAGGCGGAACGTAGGAGCTTGAGCGCTTGGCAGCGTGGTGCGAGCGCGGGACTGGGGATATCACCGGTTGCGAGAGTACAGAAGACTGGGGCTCTACGTCGAGCAGAGTTTCACGGTGCGCACGTTGCGCAAGGGCAGCTTGTACAGCAGGCGACATTGCAACACGAGGTGATGGGGTGCGACGCGGCAAATCGGTAGTCGGGATCGGCGGCGTAATGCCGGACGGCGGCTGGAGAAGCTTGCGCTCGCGCACGTAGTTCTCCCATTCATCGTCCTTGAGAGGAGCACTAGACGGACGACCGATACCGATGCCAGGACTGGATAAACGGCTGCCAGCGCCCATGGAACTTGCCCGGAGGCGGGGGTCTACGCTGTGCATGGGGCGAGGATGTGCGGCTTCCGGGAGGACAGCAGTG